GCCTTGACATGAAGTTTGACAGAGAGTGTCGCCGTACGGTTGACGGGATTTGGCGCATCGTCATCGGCTCAGGTGCTGTCCCAGCACTCCTGGCTATCATATTTAGGTTCTTCCTGTTCGACTGTGGATTATACAGTCTCGAGGTCCGTAACAAGCCCGGTATTGCTCTAAGGAATACGCAGAGAGTGTACGGTGCGCCTCCTAGTGCACCGGCTGGGTATCCCATGGCTACCGCTGATGGGATGCATACCACCAACTCGGCACAGCCTATGCCCATTCAGTTCTCCAAGGAGGATCTTTACAAATACTTCATCGAGGACGGAAATTGGTACTATCTCCTAGGTAGGCAAGCACACCTCCCCCAGGCAGGAACTCTTGGTTGCCCGGGTCGATGAGGCCCCCATCACTGACACCGTGCAGGCACCGCTGCAACATGGTTTTTTCTAGGTAAGCGCCAAGACTGTCAAAAGCCGGACTTTGACGCCGTGAGCGAAATGGCTGAAGAAATGAACCCTTCTCACAGATGTTTCCTTTTACGGGCTATCACTCGATAACAGAGGGACCCTGTCAGACATGTGGGCGACGACGGGACCGACCCCTATTGACGAAAGGCTGTCGTGCTGGAATTCAAAATGGGAAGATGGTAATGCCACAGCGAGGATGTGGAGCAAGACAGGCCTGCCGATTTGGCAAACGGATGCAACATTGCCGTGCAACACAATTTATGACGTGCTCCTAGAGCAGGCCAAGCAATATCTGCTGACCGTCTCTCTCGCCTCCATTGCCGGAAGCGCCTGCTTCGTCTTGTTCGCAAACCGTATCCCCAGACGTCTGTGGCTGACGATATCTTTTTTCGTTCTCGCCATCCTATTCGTCATCACGGGCTGCGTGTACTATGGGGTCAATCGGACTGAAGGTGCGCCAGCTACCATCGTTTTCGTAGCATTATGTCATTTCATGTTCAACTTTGGTAAGTCACTGGGTCTTGCTGCAGCACCATCCCGTCTCTTTTCGAGAACACGTCGGTTGACACACGTCCAGGGGCAAACACACTTACATTCATCATTCCGGCTGAAATATTTCCGACGTGCTACCGCTGTACGTGCCACGGCATCTCTGCCGCGGCCGGTAAACTTGGCAGCATCGTTGCGTTGCTTGTTGTCTATGGAATCAACTCGTCCTATACTGCCGCGAACCGACAGGGCCTAATTTTTCTCCTTTTCGGCTCGTTCGTGGCCATCGGCGCCGTCTTCTCCTGGGCCTATCTACCCGACTCTCAGCGATGGACGATAGACGAGGACGGGCGACGTGTGCTGGAGCAAAAGACTCTTGAAGAACTGGGTGAGGGGCGGGAGAGGGCAAGGCAACTCGGCGAGGTCATCACTGTCAAAGATAAATGGCATGATTTGAAGCGAAGAAGATCATCGCCTACACCTTCACAGGCTACTGATCCGTGAAGGGCTAGCTGTATCAGCCCAGGATCACATGGCAGGCGTACGATTCAACTCGTGCAATTTCATCATACATTGCACGTCAGCACCACGATATCAATCTGCAGCAACTCATTATCTTATTGTGGCCTGTGGTATTTGACGTCTATTGACTTCTTTCAACTTTGTCGATTAGGAATCGTCATCCGGGACATGAAGCTTTAACGACGTCAGATGCCTATATGACCATCCGGATCCAGAGCAATCTCCAATAATTCCACGGTGTCTGCGTAAAGATCCTTTCCACTCGTAGTAGCTCTTATATGCGCGTTATTCTCGAGCGAATCTAGCCACTTGGCCCACCGTAGTCCCGGCGCCGGAGCAGTCCAACCACGGAGCGGCTGCAGGATTCGAGAGAGGCGGAGGGCGAAGGGGGCAAAATGGATATCAACTAGGGAGAGGCTGCTCCCGAGGAAGAAGGGACCCTGTGGAAAATCGCGTATTGGTTAGCATTGCTTGTGGACCGGAACACGGCTGACGCAAAATATGTACGTGGGATATGCAAAAGGGCGCTTATCACCTCTTCATCGGCAGCGAGAACTAGGTCCTTGATAGATTCTTGGAGTCTCTCAATGTATTGCGAATGCTGTGCCACGTCGTGGTTGTGGAGTAAGCGGTAGAAAGCAGGAACGAGGCGAGAGTTGATCTTCAATCATCGTCAGCCTAGATAAACGGAATTAGCGACAGCTTCTACGTACGTGGTCGATCCATAAACGACAATTCGCACGGAGACGCGAATCAGTCGGAAGGAGCGGAATGGCCTTGTCCATTTCCTCAAGCTGAAAGGGTTAGCTCGACGACGTGTTTGTATACGCAAATGAGATCTGGCCCGCAAGAGGGACTCACATATTCCATTATCACCGCGCTCTCGGCACAGGCCCAATCACCTTGGCGAATTGCAGGCACAGCCCCCCTAGGATTGGCTTCGAGCAGTTCCTGTGATGCGGGTGCTTTGTACGGATCTTCTTCGCAATACTGATATGCCAGTCCTTTGGCCTCGAGAGCGATCCAAACTCGCTGAGAGAACGGGCTACGTGGTTCGGATGCATCAGCAAATGTACGAGTCAAACGGGGAGAATTTCTTTTGTCAACATACCAGTAGCATGCTGAGTAAAGTTTCAGATCGCTATCCTTTTCATGCTTCTTGATTGTCCAATGTGCTCTACCCGAGGCCTTCTTAAGACCGTCACTCTGTACATAAATTGTCAGGTAAGTTATTGTCGCATTGACCCATCACGATGGTTGCGGCGAATTTCTCACTTTGGATGCCTCCTGATTTTGTTTAACAAGATGGCGTTGAATGCTGTTCTTCTTGACCTCATCGCTCTTTGCAAGGCTATGCTTGTGCGGGCCGGGGATGCCGCTGATGCTGATGTGACCGTTAACTCGCTGAATGGTCCAAAACTTTTGTCCAAGAGCGGGCAGATTGTTCATCGTAGCCGGAAGAATACGCAGCTGTTTCTCTCCGGGGGGGGCAAGAACCGTGTGCGCTCCATTGAGCGTCTGGACACCATCAAGGGGCACATAACTGCCGTCATCCAGATCGTGCAGCGTAGCCCCAGCAAAGTATTCGGTAATTTTGATTTTGACATCGCAGAGGTTCAACTTCCGAGAAACGCGATTTCTCCTCTTCTTGTTCGGATCATCTGACTTCTTGGTCCCCGGTGGTCGACCCTTGAGCCGACAGTCCCAATAGTGAGATATGAAAGGCTTTTTCTTGTACGTCTGCGTCGACCTGTGGGAGTAGACATTGTCTACGTGAGGGAAATACGCCTCAAATCTGCGGCCAGTATGAGCACTGGGACCCTCTATCATGGAAATCTAATATTTGTTTTCCCTCTTCAGGCGGGGGGAGAGACTTGCTGGTCGTTGCTGAGGATAATGAGCCCGTCAGCGTCAAATAGCTTCTGCCGCCATTCGTCAAGATTTGGAGGGTCGATGACCCATTTACTGCTGAGAAGACTACCATGAGGTCTCCAGCCTGGGGCTGTAGTGCCGTCAATAGGGATGTAACCACTTGGACCGACAAGTGATTCTCCTAGCCTCACTGCCGCCGCAGTTGGAACAGCGGGACCAGGCGTTAAAATGCCGAATGAGCCGTGTTGATCCGGCAGTGGCAGAGGCTGATGAGCGTGACCACGAGAGTGTTCGTGAGGGGACAGCGGTGGTTGCGTTGGTGCATAGATGGTCTGCACGACGGGCCCGATAGGATGCTGCTGTTTCTCACGACCGTGTTGTGTATCACTCATATCACCATGACAAAGAGGGTCGGAGGTCTCGATATCGGCCAAATCGATCGGGGGTCCGGAACGCAAGTGGGTTACGGAGGCGGCGAGTTGCGGAGCTGGTGGGAGTTGTTGCTGCACGATCACGTGCTGTTGCCGCTGCGCTTGCTGAGAGAGAATGGAATGGGGACCCTGAGGAGAGGCCGCACTGCGTGGACGTAAGTCGAAAGGGCCCGCAGACTCAGGCATTGGTATTTGGATGTTATGTTGCTGCTTTAAAGCGTCGTGCATTCCATATCGCTAATGGTAGTGTCACCAGGAGCAAAAGTGGATGGAGTGCTGTCGGACCTCAAGGTACCTACCTACCTTAGCCAACCAACTCAACCTGTCAGCAGCGGGGGTTGCGGCAGGGCAGCGGCTTGTGCACGGACCAAGACGAGAACTGGGCCACCAACCCCGGAACGTGCCGTCCAGTATTGCGGCCTATCCGTAGGTAGCTGACAAAACACCAAACATGCCGATCCTTCCTTCTAAATGTTGGTATCGCATTGCCGTCATGAGAGTCGTGTGGTTTATTCCTAAGCCTCGCAGGATCCAAATTTACCCACCAAGTCGAACACCATGTCACTACCAGCTTAGCTCGATTCAGCCCTCAATTACACACATATCCAAAGCTGCGAGGCCGCCGGTCGTACAGGATATTATTCTTCACACGTTTCCGTTTCCTGTCTCGTAAAGCCTCCCTCGAGTCCAGTCCAAGACCATAACAAGACACATCTTCCAGACCCCCGCCTTCAGTTTGAAGCATCCCACGACGAAAGATCCATTGCATCCATCGGCCCCATATTCATCAATGACCGCAACACCCCTTCGGCGACTGGCGTCATACCCGTCTGCCCTTGTAAGTCTCCCCATCCGCTGGACATTCCAAAATCTGCCCCAGGCGTCGCTGGCATGGAAAACCTCTGGTTTGGCGTCAAGCCTGTGCCCCTGATCCCAAAAGCGCTAGCATCGTTGAAAAAGTTCACATTTGCGTCTCCGTTGCCTTGTGAGTCGATGTTCTGGTGCCCAGCGACGGGACTCGCGTCGAAAGAATTTCTGCCACCCGAGGCAATGTTCATTCTTTGCTCCGAGGCCGAGCTAGAATTAGGTGTCGGTCTGTTCGACTGCTCCGCGTCGGGCGAGCCAGACATATTGTTGTCGCCGCTGCTTTCACTTTGCCCGAATCCAGTCATATGCCCGCTGCTCGACCCAGATTTGTCATATAGAGAACCCGAGCTGGGAGTCAGGGCTGATCCATGTAACTGGACTCCGGGTCTGTTCCCCTCGTATGCTATGGGCGGTTCGGCCGACAGCCAGTTCTGACCTCCGAACCCGGTGGAGGCTGAGTTCGGGCCGCCATCTGTGTCTAGCTCGGGCTCAACAATACTTGGTGCCGCCGCCGCGTTGCCATTGTCACCCCCAACCTTCATGAAATGGCATTCGTTGCGGTAGGACATGATACCCTGCACCCCTTCAGGGTCGTCACATACCGGCCCACGGGTCCCGCCGTTTGCATTGGGCTGCAGCGTACTCATTAGCTAGCGAATTGGAGGAACGCACTTTCCATGTTAGAACTCACGCTATCGCCACTGCGCGGGAAAGCTGACTTCAGCTTCGGTATCCGCATCGCCAAGGCCTCCAGGTCAACATCAAGCTGCACAAGGAAAGATTCCGTGAGAGGGTTTCTTCTCTTGAGCGCGTTCATAGCAGATAAGAGAAATCTCAGTGAGTCGGCTGTTTGGCTGTCATCCGGCCGACTCTTGAGATATTGAACAAAGACTCTCGCAGCCACGTAGAGGCAGAATGAAATGAAAGGATTCATCTGAGTATATCAGCATGAGTTAGCCAAGATAGCGGGCTTCTACATCCACGTACCGCGGATAGGTCCATGTGCGAAATGGTCCTCATGATGCTCGCGATTTCGTTCGCTGCGGTGATGCACCGAACTTTGCTCTCGGCACTCACAGAGGCCGGCAGGCGGTTCTTGTCGGCTTTGAAAATTGCTGCTTGATGAAGACAGATAGTAGACGTATGGATGCTCATGTTAGTAAAGACAATATTTGGGTTCCCGAGACCGGCGGGAAGTTTGAGATGTGTTGGCAGGCAAAGCGAAGTATTGAGCAAGATATTGTCCATAGTACGATGGCGCTTCCAGAATTCGCCGTTTAGATCGTGATCTCTGTCGTCCACGTCAGGCCGATGAAGGTGGATGAGGTTCCGACCGAAGAGGCATGCCATGAGCACAATACCACCGAAAGACGACAGCTTTCCGGCTCCAGACGGACTCATACATTCTTGTAGAGACTGAGTTTGCTCAGGCCGGCTCATGTCGAAGGCCTCCTCTGATGATGGTAGATTGGTCATGATGTCCTTTTCGTCAACAGTCATGGGCCATCCAGTTCCAATGCTGGCGTAGCGGTCCTCACAGAACGCCATCCAGAACGTACGCCGTCTCTCCTCACGTTCCGTCCAGTCTCGCGGTGGTGGGAGGCATTGCTTCACATCCAGGCCGGCGCCATCGAGCCTGTGCAGACCAATCCTAACCGACATTTAGCCTCCGAATGATAGCATAGTAAGACTGTACTCACATTTGGCATAGACGAACGGCTGAGCCTGTGCTCATCCAGGCCCTTGGGAAGTACATCATCTTGAACTCATAGGAAGCCAAAAGCACATGTGTTTGTGCGTGGGCCACGGATATCATGTGTTCGCCGTAGCCTTTGATGTAGTCTGCTTCGACATACTTGCGGGCTCTCTGGTAAAAAAGATCCTTGAGATCAATGTACTTCTCAGTGATTGAGCACGCCAAAGTCCATATGGCGTACCGCAGCGCAACTGGAGGTCGTTGGTTGGGCGCCCTAGAGAAGTCAGCGTCTTGGAGGGACATATGAAGGATATTGGGGGTTTTCTACAGGTTCATGGCAGCTAGATATCTATATTTATGAATCATGGGAACCGAAGGGTGACACTTTTCAAAGTAGATTTGATGGCTGAAATTGGAGTGTTAGTCGTGGGTGCAGCAAAAATCGAGCTTCTCGATAGGTGTGGCACTAACAGCTCGTCAATCGTTTCCTGCGGGGGGAGGGGCTCTTCTAAACCCAACCCAATCATTTCCCAGGTAAAGTTACTCCCAACGTTGTTCATTCCCATCGACATGTTGGAGTTGAAATTGAAGTCGTCCACAGGAGGAGCGGGCGCATTTTGGGTTTGGGGCGACTCGCCATTGAACCTCCAGCGTTCAGCATCGCGATCGGTGGGAACATTCAGGTTTGAGGACGCTACGTTGAAGTTCGAGTTCGGGGCAGCTTGCTGAGTGCGGCTAGATGTGGTGTCAAGGCCAAGGGATATCGTCCTGGAGGGGTCGGCGGGTGCGGCGGGGGGGTCTTGGGTCTTGAGAAGGGTTTCAACTTGCTCTTGAATAGGCGCAAAGAAACTTGGTCAGTTAAAGAAAGAGGGAGCGACGGAAACAGGCCGGAAGGCTTCGACCTATGGCGATGGCATCGCACAGACGGACTCACTCAGTCGTTCCTCCAGAGCCTTGACGTATCCCCGCTTCGGACCGCTTTTCCTACGAACTTCATCATAGGCGCAAGAATGACCCAACCTAGCACACGTGCTGCAACTCGGTCTGACACCGTCGCACTTCAACTTGCGTTTCCGACAAATCATACATGCTAGGCGCTTCGGTTTGGGAACATTGGTGTTGTCGGTCGCTGGATCCTTGCCGTTGGAATCGGCGCCTGGGCTCCCGCCCCTTGGACGTTTGTGGGAGTTGGCGCCGTTCGTGTCCGGAGGCGTGGGTGTACTCGAGGACATTGCGAAGGCGGAAATAGAAACGAGTAGGAGAAGGCGAAATCGAAATCGACTGCGGGTATGAAATGCGGCGACGAGAATCCGGGGCAGTCGGAGGGGGAACCGCAGGCCTCGGGGGCGGCGGACAGGCAAGATAGTGAGACGGTCGCGGGCGCGAGGCACAACGGTTGCGCTGCGCAGCGCGGCTCAGCTTATGGGCAAGTGGTCGTCGCACGTGTTCGTCGCACGTGTTCGTCGCACGTGTTAGGCCACTTCATGCGGCGCGCAATGTCGAATGGGATTTAGATAGATAGGGGAGGGAGACAGAGAGAGACAGAAAGTCGAGTCTGATTGAGGAGGGAAGCGGGAGAAGCATAGGGCGGATGCATCAATCTCACGTTTGAGCTAACGCCAATGCCAAGTTGACGGAAGAAATGGCCACTGGCAGCTGTAAACTGGCATCAAAAGACTAAAAGCACAGAGGACTGGGGGTAGAGATGGGGACTTGGTCAGGCAGTGGGGGGCGATGAGAAGCGCAAGACAGGCGTAGCCTACCTAGCCGCCATTCCAATTCGAGCTGGTCATGATTAGTAACGACAGGGTACTTTGAGAGGCATCAGCATGGATGCCCCAGCGTCGGGCTTACTGCGTACCTTACCTTGGGCACCTAGGTAAAGTAGTATGTACACAGGTAGTCGCAGCGCATTGTACCTAAACAGAATGCCAAAATCTCAACCATCTAGGGACCTACGACTACGTTCCTCACCTCCACTACCTTAGTGTACGAGATACGCTCCTCAGCTACACATGACCGTACCTCCCGTCATCTCAAGATTCCATTACTTTCAACGCAACCCGTCTCGCCATCCTTGCTCACAGAAACCTCGGAAAAGAAAGCACATGCTAAGCAGGCAGCGTGGACTAAATAAGTATTAAAATAATAGATACTGTGTATGTAGTAGCGTGATTGAGAACTGCTTAATTTATAACTTCTATATCAACTTGACACTTTCACATCATTCCAGTCACCGCCGAACAACCGAACCCACGGATGGCGGGCAACGTTCAAATGCGCATCCGGACAACTACCCATACACCGGGCCGGGATGGTGTCCCCGCCCTGCCGCAGTGGGCTCTCATGGTACGTTCAAGCTCACACTTGGCTGCGCATCCACACAGCCTCACCCGCCAATGACTGCAGAAACGGCAAGTATACTCCCCCTCGGCTTCAATTTCGTCCGCGCTGACTCTTGCTACGCAAATACCCCATCTTGTCAGCCGAGTCGAAACTCTCAACATCGCCATCTCGCGTCCGTGGACGGTCGCTCATTGCTGACTTACCCGATCGAGACAATCTATTCACATCTGATTTGGGTTTCACCCTTACTCCCAGCTACCAATCCCTCGAGCCCTTGTCATCCGGATTCACCACCACAGTGATTTCACTTCTTCTCGGCGTCTACACCGATGATGCGGAGAATCCCCAAATCGCTGTAAGCCAAGCAGTATCGAGTCGGAGCCCAGGACACGACTGGGCATGGCCCGGCTGTTTTGAGAGTATGCACGTGATCACCGGATTCGACATGCCTAATGTCTAGCCCGGATCCTATGGACATGATTAGCCTCCCCAATATCTAATTCAAACCGGTGCCTAGGCCTACTCACCCTCGTCACTACCCCCCACCAAGAAGTTGCCGTCAAATGTGAAGCCTTTGTGGCAATTAGAACCGCGCACAGGATTCCACTATCCACACTCGTGAACTTACTGATAGACCGCACAGGGCCCACCATGCTTGTGATGGTTCGTTGGCAGATCCAGTCTGCTGTATCCCAGAGAGATATGATGGAGTCGGAACCACCTGTGGCAAGATACCGCCCTGTGGCCTGCATCTCAGCTGAAAGACACGAAGATGTATGACCACTGAGTGTAAACTCTTGAGGCTCGGTCCCGTAGTCGAGCTGGAACGCAGGCTGGAAGTCTGGATATGTAAGGATGCGGGTTTTTCCCTCTCCGGTTGTGAGAAAGATCTTCTTGCCGCTCCAGCAGAAGGCAATTTGGTTGGTCTGGCCAGGCTGCTGATGAGATGCCACGGGCGTGGACTGAGTTGGTGACAGAACGAAGATATTGTCCGTCTGCCTGGGGTGAGTATGGCTCCCTTGAAAAGAAGAAGAAGAAGAGAACCATGGGTCACCGAACCTTGTTACCAACAACTAGAGATTCGCCATCAGGTGCCCACGCAAGGGTGAACGCATCCCCCAGGCCCTTGATCTCGTTGATGCAGGTTTTTGATCGAACATCCCAAAACTTTACAACACCATCGTTGCTAACACTGCACAATTCGGCGTCCTTCACCGGATTGAAAGCGACTTTCTCAATTGGGGCCGAGTGGCCCTTCAAGTCGGTAGAGAAGCGTACGTTTGGCTTCTCAGGATTCCCTAGTCAAGTTGGACATGTCAGCTTTCGTACTTCAGCAATGGTGCCAAAAGTACTTACAGACGCGCAGGGTTTTGTCTGATGATCCAGTCGCGATCAACGTGCCCAGAGGACTCCACGCGATGGATCGCAAGCTAGAGCAACGAGTGATTTAGCAGGCATGTCCGAAGCCCAGAGGACTGCACCGTAGCTCTCAGACTTACCTGTGTCCTCTCGAGCTTGAGCCTGGGTCATGGTAGGGCTGACTCTTCAGTCCTGCCAAATAGGTAGGCATCCTCTCTTTTGAGAGACTTGGTCGTGTGCGAGGAGGTGCCATTGTATGCTACGCAAATCAAGGTTGACGAAATGAGCGATGCACGAAACTTGAATATGTCTGGGTAGTAAGCACTCGGCGCAGGATGGTTGTAATGGGCCTCTCTCATCACTCACACGCTAGTCTTGTCGTAGATGAGATCCAAGGCGAAATTGTGAATTCGCCAAACTATTTTACGGGGTGCTTCTGCCTTGTTTTGCCGCAACCGCACCTGGGGACATAGTGTAGCTGAGGCGCTGTCGGCAGAAGGGTGTGTTTGAAGTCAGTGGACCCTGCCGCTCCTTTCACGACGTGGATTACCTAATATGGAAACCTTCACACGGTGAGGAGGGTACCTGATGGAGTGGTGCACTGTGGGTCAACCAGGTGGGAGCTCCATTGTTTCGGCAGCCCCCAACGTTGGCGGCGACCTTGCAAGCTCCGTCGGCTCCCAAAACCACCTACCATGACACTTGACGGCCGCCGACCTCACCGTATTCTCGACACCATCTTCTCGCGTCCCTCCCTGTTTCTCGCTCGCGCTGCACAGCACATGGTAGGACTTCAATGTCGCATAAGCCCCTGTCAGAAAATGAGGCTTCTTGATTGAATCTAGCAGCGGCCATGATCAGAGCAGTGTCTGTCTGGAGTGCGAAAAAGGAAACCTGTACCCCGGCCCGGCGAGCCTCCGCGTACCCATTCGCTCCCGACGACATACTGCCATTGCAACGGCAACGCTGCAGCGAACACAGAAACTATCGACTTAGGACCTCGTCGAAATGTATTGGCCCATAGGGACCCCCAGAATTTTCGCCACGAGCAGCAGGTCTGGTCCTGCATTCAACCTAGTTGTCTCCCACGATGGCCTACCCAGCCCCTTCGACAGCCGGTCGCGAAGCGATTCCTCTCCATCGTCAAACCTGAATACTCGATCAACACCGCAATATGACGATGTTGAGCTTGCCACCCCGCTGACACCAATGACACCCGCCATCCAGTCAGTTGATGACGACGCCCATGACCCAAACAATTGGCATTCATCGCCACGCCTCAGCAACAACATTCCTCTGAAAGACCCTGTTCTTGCTCTGCGCATCTCTCGTGGTGGTCAGCTATTCGCTGTGATAACCTCGACGTCCATAACAATATGGCAAGCCAAGGTTCGTCTGCCTGCCCTGTAGTGGCTTCTTCCAGCGACACCTCTTCATTTGGCGAGCCATGCTGACACCATCCAAGCCTACAGTGATACTTGCCGTCGTCGTCCGCTCTGAAACTTCTCTTTCGACATACGGTGAGAACGTGGATCTACTGTTGCGACCCGACTCAGCCATTCTTGTCGTTCGGACGACCTTGGGCTACCTCATCACATACTCCCTTGCAACAGACTCCGAGGCTCAAGTTTACAAGCCTTATTTTCCGAGCTATGCAAATGTTCAGCGACGTCGCCAAAATCACCATGGGGGCCCCGGAAGCGCGGCGCCAGATCAAATTCTGTGGGGTCCCGGTGAGGGTCAAGGAGTTCGCGACGTAAGTGTCCGCTTTAGGATGGTCATCAAAGTCGACGCCGGCATTGAAAGCGCGCTGGCTTTGGACGACGAGCTGGTTGTGGCCACACGAAAGCCCGCAGCTATCCAATGCATCCGGTGGACTCCAGATCACAGTGGCAGCCAGACAAAGACGGAAATAATAAGTCGAATGGGATGGTTGGAGAAGAAGATTACGATTTTGGAAATGACCCACGACCGACCCATGAACCTCTCGACTTGGATTACGAGCGACGGCAAGGTTTATGCAGTGCAGCGGTTGAACTCAAAGGAGCTATCTGAGCCAGACTCTCAGGAAACCGACCCAAAAAAGTTATTCAAGGGCTACTGCTTTCATACGCCACATGGACCTGCGGAATACGCCAAACGAGCAGTCGTCAACGCCCGGTTTTCTTTGATTGCTGTTGGATGCGCCGACGGTGGTATACGTGTCTATTCTGCCCGAGATTATGCTGGCAACATACCACCGTCCCACGCCCATACATTGCCTGTGTCTTCGACAGTGTGCGGCTCACTGACCACTTTGAGCTACTCTCCCGATGGCTACTGCTTATTTGCCGGTTTTGAGAGCGGGTGGGCTACCTGGAGTGTCTACGGGAAACCGGGCAGTCACAGCTTTGGCACGCACGAAGCCGTAGTTGAGTCCAACGGGGAAGACTGGATTGCTGGCGTGGGCGATGCCGTTTGGCTCGGTAGTGGCACCGAGCTTCTGATCACTAATCGTCGCCACGAAGCAATCTGGGTACTAGAAATGGCCAGGAGTGCCGTGGTCAGTTGTTACAACGCGGCCAACCTCCTACGCACAGTACTGCAGACCAACACGAACGTTATGATCTACCGCGGATACGATTTGCCAGATCTCGCGAGCATTTCGGCCGAGCCGCATCTGTGGCACACGACCAAAGTGCCTCCGTCGTATTTGCTTCAGCAATGGCCCATTCGCCATACAGTCATTTCACCAGATGGTCGGTACGTGGCGGTAGCTGGACGGCGCGGCCTGGCCCATTACAGCGTCAACAGTGGTCGTTGGAAGACATTCGTCAATGAGGCCATGGAAAATGAGTTCCAGGTCAGGGGCAGTATGTGCTGGTACCAACATATACTGGTGGCTGCAATCGAGGCGAACAAGTCCCACGAGCTCCGCCTCTATTCGAGAGAAACAGCCCTGGACAGTTCACTTGTGTTGCATACCCAGCAGCTGCCAGCTCCCGTAGTCCTGGTGGCCTCCTCGGGGGAAGATTCGCTTCTCGTCTACACATACGAGAACTTACTATACCACTTTATCTTTGCGCCTTCGGGCGGCGGTTCCATAAGACTGGTGCAGCTAGGACAGATCGCATTTCATGGGATTGTGCGGTCACCTGCCAGAGTACGCGGTCTCAGCTGGATCTTGCCAGATAGCCAACTGATTGATGGAGACCCGTCGCAAGATGTTGCAGTGGCGTCGGTTCTGTTTTTAGTTGATGCTAAGCTGGTTTTGCTACAGCCATCGTTAAATCACGAAGGGCATCTCAAATACGACATGAAGGTCATTGCTCAAAACGTGGAGTTCCACGTGAGCATGAGAGACCAGCCTCACTTCGACACCACTGTCATGCGCTCCGAAGAGCTTGCGTCTGCGGGCAGTGACTTGTCTTTGCGTAACTCCCTCTGGGTGTTCGATGGCCAAGAGTTCAAGCTCTGGCCTGATGTGCAAGAGGTGCTCCGGGCAGCATCGAGCGAGGCGTCTCGAGAGTTGCCGAAAACAATCTCAGTTCCGTTAGACTTTTATCCTCTTTCGACTCTACTTGGGAAAGGCATCGTCCTTGGCGTTGAAGCAGATCTTGTGCAACGAAGGGATATCAGCTTCTCCTTCTTCCGCTTTACCATCAGGGTTTGTCCACCCATGATCTAACCAAAAAAGAAAAGAAAAAAACGCGTACGCTGATGATTTGAATAGACACACCTCTTCTTACCGGACATTCTGCGTTTCCTGTTGACTGAGAACCATGCTGTAGACGCAGTCAAGTTATCGGAGCAGTATCAAAACCTGGAATATTTTGCACACGCTTTAGAGGTCTTGCTCCATAAAGTCCTAGATGACGAGGTAGATTCTGGACCAACCCCAGAAGAAGCGATCCTCCCGCGTGTGCTATCGTTGCTATCGTCATTCAAGCAGTATCTTGATATCGTCGTGCAGTGCACGAGAAAAACCGAGGTTAGGCAATGGCGGACGCTATTCGCGTATCTCCCCCCAGTCCAAGAGCTTTTTGAGGAGTCGCTTCAGCGAGGATCTCTCAAAACCGCCGGAGGCTATCTGATCATTCTACACACTCTGGATGACCTTGGCTCTGCCTCGGAGCAAACAGTCCGGCTGTTGTCGAGAGCGATGAAGGAGGGCGATTGGGAATTGTGTAAAGAGTTGGCACGCTTTCTGGCGGCCATGGACGAAACAGGCGACTCTCTCCGTGAGGCGATGGAGGGTGTCAACATCACCATAAGGAACGACCAGAATTCATCTGGGATGATGACGAGGCTGGGTGTTCCGGTTCCTGGTAATAGAGCCATGAACGGCTTAGGGCTCAAGTATGCAGAGCAGAGTGATGATATGGAGTCGGAAGGCCAATCGGTTAGCGATGCTGCGAGTTTTAGCTCCGACGGGCGTTGAAATATTAACGCCAAATACATGAGAATCCGGCCTGGGCTCGCATGTTCGCATGCTCGCTGCCAAATATCAAGATGATTATCCTATCATGCGCAAAGTTGAATTCCCAGTTGTTTTCCAACAGTGTATCTAAGCCATCGTCAAATTGCCATATCCTACTCATTGAGTCGAAGGAAGACAGCCGCAGGTACGTACCGATGGCAACCCCCGCCCCCTCCCTGACCGCACCGGGCCCCGCTAACCGCGTTGCCCTGCAGATGGGAACTTGGAACACACCTCAGAGAACCGGCGTCAATCAACGCCCGACGAAAGACCTTTGCTGTCGACCAACCATTTCCACTTCAACACCCATCACCGAACCGACTGCCAGTCCACAGATCGACACGGCGACTAGTCACTGCAACATCTCAGCCTGGCCATGCTCTGAAAGCTTGTCACGCACAAAGCGCACCTTCTTCAGTATGATGGACGACTTTGGCAGCGAGTCGGATAGCGACTATACGAGCTATTGGCGCGATTGGGTAAGTGACCTCACCTACGATTCTCCTTTCTCGTCAAAGAACGGACGGCGTCAGAATTTCTTTCTGTTGGGTCGAAGGGCTGGATGAGGTTGGCATGGACTGCAACATACTTGCGCGCACATGCGCGACTTGGATGGCCGCACGATCAACGTCATCCATCGTCGCAATACCAGCGCAGCCACCATTCGCAAGAGCACGTCTGCTAACTGCTAGCTTTCGAATAGTTCATATCTTCTCGCGGAAATGAGTACTTCTGCGAAATCGACGAGGACTATCTTACAGACCGCTTCAACCTGACGGGACTGAACACGGAAGTTCAATACTATCAATATGCGCTCGATCTCATTACCGATGTCTTCGATCTCGACTGCGATGACGAAATGAGAGAGACAATCGAGAAGTCGGCCCGTCACTTGTATGGCCTCGTTCATGCCCGGTTCATCGTCACAACGAGGGGTCTTGCTAAGATGGTATGCTTGCCTACTCTAACGGACCTGTTCAGCGAGGACAGCTCCTTGGCCGCCTGGACGACATCGCTGACGTGAGAAAAATATGAAGCTCGAGAAGTACAAGAAGGCGGACTTTGGCAAATGTCCACGCGTCATGTGCCACTCCCACCCGCTCCTGCCCATGGGTCTCTCCGACGTCCCAAACCTGAAGCCGGTCAAGCTCTACTGTGCCCGCTGCGAAGACATCTACAACCCCAAATCGTCGCGTCATGCGGCCATTGATGGTGCATACTTTGGCACCTCCTTCCACAATATCATCTTTCAGGCCTACCCAGCCCTGATCCCCACCAAGAGTGTCGAGCGTTACGTCCCCCGAGTGTACGGCTTCAAAGTTCACGCCTCGGCTGCGCTGATTCGATGGCAACACCAGAAGAAGGACGAGATGCGCCGTCGCCTGCGGAAGATGGAGGTGGATAGCGGGTTCCGCGACGATGATGTTCTGGATGACGATGATGATGTCGAATTTGAGGGTGTCGATAATCGTGCGGTGGGTGGCAACGACGGTGTTACCGTAGCTTGAAATGACGAGCCAGTGATCACGTCAAGGGGCTGACGGTGCCTTTCCAGCGTACGTGACGGTCGAGGGGCTCGTGGATAAGCCACTGACGGCCAAGCACTAGGCGGGCTCTACTCACATAAGGCTCTTACGTTTTTCTCTCGCGTCGATAGATTTGGTCCATGGGATAATGACATAACGGTATTTTCATGCTTTATTTTACTGCCTGTCTTCGTGGCCCGATCAGGTGAGGCAGTAGCGCAGTCGCTTCTCGGATTGGCATCTCCACGCAACGCAGGAAGAGTACCTCTAGTGTCAAGAGGATCGGCATGCCTCAAAAAGAAGAGCATAACCTTGCATGTGTTGCAAGTGTATGGCTTCGCAGAGAGTAGGAGAGCGTCGTGCGCTTGCCGATGCACAGGTAGTCAACGTCATCACATCCGGCATGCAGTAGGGGATACTTCCAAAGGTAGATAAGGTAGGTATTCTTTTCATTCACGAATCTATTCCATAACCGGTCGTATCTGTATGCCACACCGGGCCCTGAAAAAAGAAAAAAAGAAAAAAGACCAATACCGCCGCCGAGCTCATGTAGCGGGTGGTATACCGTGTAACTCCAATCATGCCCAATATGCCGGGCGGAAAGCGCAATGGATCCCGCGTGCCCGCCTTTTCACCCATGAGAAAATAACTTCAATCAGAACCTGTTTTCAGGGCCAGAGCCATCATTTGATGCAGGCTTGCCAACGTATTGCGTGGATGTCGCCTGGCCAACAGGTCGCGACATGTATGCCTCCTCCTCATCGCCCGACCGAATGAAGTCGCCTTTCTCTGTCGCATAGCTGTAGGAGCCAACCCCGGACCACCACGCCTTGTCATGGCTGCGAGGACCCCAAGCCCATCCGGCACCCTGGCGGATGGGAAGATGATAGTAGCGAAAAGCGAAGATAGAAGTGAAGACGCCAATGAGGTAGCCAAACAAGATGTCGAAGCCATGATGCCGGAAGTCGAACCAGCGAGACCCTGCGATGAAAATGGATCCGAACCAAGGGAGGACGACAATCGTCAAGAGGTAGATAGGGGGCGCGGCAGCCTGGCGGCGGACAGCTGTTACGATCTTGTTGTGCTCGGCAAGGTTTCTGGCGACAGCTGACGTGTCAGGGTTGAGAGAGCCTCCCTCGCCCGATCGCACTTCCTCGTAATCAGAGCTCGATTTCTGGAGGCGAGAAGGAAAAGCCGAGTGTGACGAAGCGTCGCTGTTGGTAGCAACAAATGGCAAGGTGACGGCAAATTTACTGGCGAGAAAGAGCGATAGGTAAATCAAACCGGCGGCAGCAGAGCTAGAGTGACCGGAGGGGTAGCTTCGGAAGCCGTCGTCGAGTGTGTGCTTGTCGGTATTTGTGCAAATGTCTGCGGATACGAGCTGTCCAAAGCCAGCTGCGCCAGTAAGGCCGGTGATGCTGGCATTGGTACCGCCAACAACGTACTTGGCGAAGTTTTCCAGATCAGGCCGACAGCGGGAAAGCAGATCGGGTCGAGGCTTTCCGAACATGTTCTTCATGCCATTCGTGATGAACCAAGCACCGCACATAGCCAACGCGAGCCCGAGCCAGCCGACGTGTAATTCCCACAACTTGCGCTTCCAGATGAGGGCGTTTGGGGTGCCCTTAGGAATCGTATTTCCGGGAACAAGAACGAGGCAGACGATGGCGATGATGATGATGGGGACGAGAACGGCGCAGATAGCGGCGAGCCACATTGGGACGGTTTCGTGCTCGGTGAAGGGAAAGCTTGTGGGTAGGTTAGTACGAGCGGAAGTAGAGAAGACGAGGCCAAGGATTCTTACGAGATGTTGGGGTCGAGGACTGAGAAGGGGCGTTTGTTTGGAGTCACGATTCCCAATACACCGCCAATGCCAGCAACGACGAGCAAGACGAACCAATCGAACACATAGGAGCCGATCAAGGAGGGAGTCCAATGGGAACGGGGCGAACGCAGTGAGCGCCTCTCATACGGTGTGGGTGACTCGGGCATCTTGTAGTATGACGGCCTCGACGAGGGCGAGAGGTTTGCGAGGGGAATGGAAGTGGACATGAGGGGACGAAGAGTAGAAGTAGTGAAGGAAAGTCGAGAAGGTCATCCGGATGGGGGTCCAAGCTACTTCAGGTGAACCCAGAGGGAGTTAGGGAAGGTACCTGAGGCCCTCTTTAGTCTAGGTCTCTTTGGTACGAATAAGGGAAAGATGAAAGAGAGTTTAAGTGCTGGGTATGGGAGTGGGATGGGAATGGGGAAGGGATCCGCACAAGCGCAATCGAGATGTTTGGGTGGACAAGGCGTGCAGCTTGAGGGCGGCAACGCGGGCGCGGATGCGGATGCGGATGCGGTGCAGGCGAGCTGAAAATGTTGGGATGGCTGGTGGCGGAGGGACCACAGCGCCGGGGGGGGAGAACTCAAGCAGGAGGGGGGAGGAGTGCAAATTAAGACGCGAAGAGGAACCCTTTGCTGCGCGCCCAGAGAAAGCGAGACACGCTCGATGGCGGGCAATGGTCGAGAGACCTGGAGGAGAAACCTCAGTGGAACTTTGTGCCTAGGATGCTGTTCGGCACGGGTCCAGCAAGGATGCAATGGGCGGGCAGGGCAGGGCAGGGGATATGTTTCGTGTTACAGAGTGTTGGCCCCTCTGTTGTGTGGTATGGAAGAGACAAGAAGGCAAGCGGAACTCGCCCAGAGATGCGATACTATGTAGCACACAATCCAAAAAGGGATGGGCAAGAATGACGGGAGGCAGAGAACCCTAAGGTAGGAGGTCGGAGACTCGGAGTGCGACCACCCTTAAACAATCGGCGGCACGCACCGCACGCTGCGCGACAGATGTAGTAAGCAGTCGCGTGGCAGTGCCGGCCATGTACCTTAAGGTAGTTTAAGACACCTCCAGGTCGCCAGCAGGGCTCATCCGTACATCCGCGCCTTCGCGCCCTCTAGCACCGTCGCCAATCCTTTTTATCTTTAGAAAATCTGGCAAGGTGCTGCCTTCTTTCCAACCCTTCAACTGCTGCGACGGCGTGTCAAACAGACAGCCCAGCCCAGCCTTACCGTGCCAAGTTCATCCGTACATTGGATGTATGCGCTTCCCAAACTTTCCAGTGGTTGCTGACTTGCAAATGCAGGGTCTGAGGAGCTGCCATCAGTTTTACGCATGAAATATTTCGTAGACACGTACACGAAGGGACCTCCACAATGCCAGCTACCTGTGGACATGTCGTCTGGACTCGGGAGGGGGGGGGGGGGGGGGGGGGGGG